ACCAAAATTGTATAATTTTTATTTTGTGGCTTGTCCCTGAGGGTACCTTGAGCTGGCCAGAAAAGACAAACACAAAGCAGACTCAGGAAGGTTATAGGAGGAGGAGTGGCTCCTTAGCCACACACAGCCGGCCAAGGGAGTGTTCTTGGGCTTGGGGATACTGCAGACCTTCCCAGACCCCAACCCTGCCCTGGGTGCCCAGATGCATTCTCCCTTGCTCCCTTGGGCCTGATGGTTGCTGAATTACCCCTCCCACCAACCACCAGACTGTGTCTAGCCCCTGGCCTAGAGGTGGGGCCTGGAGAGGTTGACCAGGCCCCCACCTCAACCTGCAGCAGAGGTGATCCAAGGATCTCAGGCCTTGGACGAGGGTAGGTGGCAGGCTCGTCCCTGCCTAGACAGGGGCTCCAGTTGCATGCCAGACGAGCAGTGGTGTTGCCAATCCAGGGCAATGATGGCTGCTGGCACACCTTGTGATACCTGCCCCAACCCTCCCTGTGCCTGTGCCCAGGGTGGAGAGTGGCATGGTCACAAAGAAGGGGAGGCCAGGCAGGGCCAGGGTGGTAAGGGGGCAGCTGAGAACGTGTCCCATGGAGACAGAATAGTACATGGCCTGAAGCTCCAAGTCCTTGGCACGTGCTCCATTGTACCATCAGATTTCACTTACAAAACACAGATTCAAAGACAAATGGTTATGGATTTCCAGACAGCAGCTGCGGAGCGTTAAACCCTAAGCATGGGGTCCTTTGAATGTGAAGCCCTGTGTGATCGCCCTGGTCACAGGCCTGTGAAGCTGCGCCTGGCCGGTGGCCATCTTGCTCATGCCTCTGAGCAAACCTAGGAGAGGCCAAGGAGAGCCAGGAAGCACCAAGAGACGGTGAGCAAGCCCTGGTGACATCACATGAGCCTCTGAGTCCAGCTGTGCCCGCACCTGAATACCCAAGAACTTCCCAGTTCCTGTGCTCCAGCCAGCTGAGGCCTGAGTGCTCAGGACCCACAGAGGTGAGGATCCAGGCTTGCCAGTCTGGATACCTGGATTCCTTTCTTGACTTAAAAGAGTTTCATACCTGTCCATCCAGTTGGAATGCCTGTAGGTCAGAGATCTAACTGCCCTCCCCACGTGGACCTGTTCTGTTCTCAGCCAGGTCTATTATCTGTCTCAGACCTCCAGTTCTTTCTCAGGAGAAAGGAAAGCTTTATTCCTTGGCTTTCCCAGTGCTCCCCAGGCTGGGTAATGTGGATGTTGAAGGAGAACCTCAAATTCCACCCTGGAGTGTGTGCATGCGTCTGTGTGTGTGTGTAGTGCCCTGGAGGGCAACTGGGGGCATGGGGGTGGGTAATAAATGTGGAAGGTACATGAGAATGTTCAAGAAGCTTCCAGAAAGAGGGGAGAGGAGTTAGAGATGGAGGAGGAAGGGGGTGGGAATGGCCTGACTAGGGGAAGACAGGCAAACAATCCTATACCAACTGTTTCATCTTTAAACTACTCCTTGGTGGAAATAAATAAATAAATAAATAAACAAACAAACAAACAAACAAACTACTCCTTGGTGGGACACCTGGATGTCTCAGCGGTTGAGCGTCTGCCTTTAGCTCAGGGCGTGATCCCAGCATCTGGGATCCCTGCAAGGAGCCCGCTTCTCTCTCTGCCTCTCTCTCTCTCTCTCTCTCTCTCTCTCTCTCTCTCTCTCTCTCTCTCATGAATAAATAAATAAAATCTTAAAAAAAAATAAAGAAAAAAAATAAACTACTCCTTGGTGGGATGCCTGGGTGGCTCAGTGGTTGAGCATCTGCCTTTGGCTCAGCATTATCCCCGAGTCATGGGATCAAGTTCTGCATTGGTTTCCTTGCTGAGAGCCTGCTTCTCCCTCTGCCTGCATCTCTGTCTTTCTATCATTAATAAATAAATAAACAAAATTTAAAAAAAATAAACCACTCCTTGGAATGGACAGATAGCCCATTCACTCAGCCATCCATCTGTCCATCCGTTCATTCAATCTCTAAGCATATGTCCTGAGTGAAAAACCGTTAAACACACACTGAGTACATGTTGACTGTCAGGCATAGCCAGGCCCTAAAGATACCCAGACACCTTCCTGGAGATTAACCTTTTTGAAAACATGAGTGCCAACTGTGGAAAGACAAAAAAAAATTCTACAAAGTTTATAGGGCACCTCCTCCGCCCTCCGTCCCCAGCCCCAGAATAAAAAGATCTGGATTGGATCTCTCTGAAGGAAGTTGCCATCTTCTTACTTCTTTGGTCATCAATTTTGCTCAATAGGAGAGAGTCTGTAGAAAAACAGCCCTTATTTCTGCAGCAAAGATTTATTATCTGGGCAGAGCCGACTGATGACAATATCAGAACTCTCATGTATTGGGTGCCTCCTATATGCCAGGTGTGGTGCCGTAGGAGACTCACTGTGCAGGTGAGTACTCATGGGCAACCTCATTTTGTAGACAAGGGACTGGGGAGGGCTGGAGAGGGTAAGTGAAGAGCCCGTTGTTACCTAGAAAGCGGCAGAGTCCAGTTCGCGCTCAGGTCTGTGTGCTTGGAAGCACAAGGCTGGGCTTTGGACAGGCACACCCAGTGGGGGCGGCCACCCGGAGCCCCCTGTTGCTTGGCCTCAAATGTGCTGGTCCGCCTTTACTCATCCGATATTACAACTTCCAGGGAGGGGATGCCACCCAACCCATTATGCGGCACTGGGACCACCGCCTACCCACCTCCCTCTTTGCTGAGGGTCCCTTGGATGGGTGCATCCATGGGGCACAATCCATTAAGAAGAGGGTCAGAGCTCCAACTGGCCTGGAGCCTTGGCCTGCCCAGTGTGACTAGGGAAACTGGTTGGGGCAGCTGACCCACACTGTGGTTGTACTGGCCTATCTCCTCCCTCTGCACCCCAGACACGCTCCCCCCGCTGACCTGGGGGAAGAACAGAAATTCCCAGAACGCCAGTAAGGGCTCTCCTGTTTCTTGAGTGCTTGCTGTATGCCAGGCACGGCTCAGCATTCCTCTGTAGGTCACGGCCGCATCCTCAGTCCCTGCCTTCCCCCTGGTCCCATCTCTTGCCACCGTCCCCTGTGCCCTCTGCCTCAGCCCCACAAGCCACCTTCCCGGTCCTCCGACCTGCCCAGTGAGGCCCTGTGTTCAGCCTCTGTCCTTGCTGCTGCTCCTGCCTGGACTGCTCTGTCACTGTGTCCCCAGAGGCTGGTGGTAGAGATTTCTAGTGCCCCACCACCTGCCCTTCACCTCCCCTTCCCAGACCCTCCTGCCTGCCCCCAGCCCTGCTCCTGCTGGACCCCTGCAATTAGGAAAGGTCAGGAGTTAGGTCAGGTCAGGAGACTAACTGGGGCCAATGGCCCATGAGGAGAGGCGAGGGGACTCGCTTCCTGACCACGAGACTCTGCACCCCTGAATCACTGAGTCATTTTGTGGAGCATGGCAGCCTCGGAGAGTTGCCAGTTTGGCTGGACATTGCTTTGTCAAGAACTCCATCTTCGCTGTGTTACACCTCTGAGATTTGGGGGTCAATTTGTGATGACAGCATAGCCTATCCTATCCTGACCAATACAGCTGACCCATCCAGGTCTCAGCTGACATGTCACTTGCTGTGACCACTGCATCTGAGTGGCCCCACCCTCTTCTCCTGAGCCCTGTCTAGCCCTGTTTTTATTCTCCTGTAACACATAACTTAATGTTTATTTCTTCCTTTGCTTCTCGTCTGTCTCCTCTGCTGGAATGTAAGCTCCATGGGGGCAGGGCCCTTGGCTGTCTTGTTCACGGCTGCATCTTTGGTGCCTAGCACAGTGCCTGGCGCTCTATAAATACTTGAGTGGCTGGAATGCATAGGTTTCTTTCTTTTTTTTTTTTTTAAGATTTACTTATTTATTTTATTTTTAAAAACATTTTATTTGTTTATTTGAGAGAGGGAACACAGAGTGAGAGAGAGCGAGCACAAGTGGGGATGAGGGGCAGAAGGTTGGAGGGACAAGCGGACTCCTCACTGAGCAGGGAACCTGAGCAGAGCTCGATCTCAGGACCCTGAGATCATGACCTGAGCCGAAGGCCAACTCTTTTTTTTTTTTTCCCAAGCCAAACTGTATCCAGCTTTATTAAAGATACTTTTCATAAACAATCATGGTATTTCAGGCAGGACATGGGTGGACGATTGTTAACAGTATACAACAACTTTCAAACTCCCTTCTTCAATGGACTACCAAAATCAGAAAGCCACTATAGAACCCAATGAAGTCTTCATGTGATGCTCTGAACAGGGAAAGTTTAGAGTGAGGGTTGACAGTTCACATTCAGCATGTTGTTTAACAACTTTTCACAAGCCGACCCTGATTTTCAGGAAATGAAATGAAAATGGCAGAATTATTAATCTGAAGATCCACAAGCTAAAAAAAGGAACTCTTTTGAGGGACGCCATCTCAGTGGTGACACCGTAAAGTCCAGATTGCCTGACATACTGGGAACCATTTCATGGGGTCAGGTTCTGACAGGTCTCTGGGTTTAAGGGAGTCAAGTCTATGTTGAAGGCAAAGAGGGAGAAGAGGACATAAAAAAATGAATTTTAGGGATCCCTGGGTGGCGCAGCGGTTTAGCGCCTGCCTTTGGCCCAGGGCGCGATCCTGGAGACCCGGGATCGAATCCCACGTCGGGCTCCCGGTGCATGGAGCCTGCTTCTCCCTCTGCCTGTGTCTCTGCCTCTATCTCTCTCTCTGTGTGACTATCATAAATAAATTAAAAAATTTAAAAAAAAACTTTAAAAAAATTGAATTTTAGTTTTTCCGCACCACCAAGGGGGGCTCATGTGTGTCAACATCAAGGAATCCTTTCTCCTGGGAGCCAAGAGGAAGTTTCTCAAAACTAGAAGGGGAAGGTGTTTTTCCCTCTTGTTATCAATCTAGCTTCGGAGATATTCTATTAGTGACATATGCCCTTCCCCCAAAACAACAGTGAAGTGTTCTGTGTGCTAACAACATAGCTTAAAAAAAAAGTAAAACAAAATTCTGCATTTTTATAAAACTTGATAAAAAATAGTATTTCAAACTGTACAGTCACCAGAAGTACACAGTTATCAAAAATGCACACACTTCACTTGGCATCTCTAGCACCTTCAGTTTTCTGTGCCTGGTCTGTTTTGGCATCTCCATTTTCTGCAGGGTTATTTCCATCCTTGCCAGCATCAGCTTTCCCCTTTATCCCTTTGGGTACCTTCTCTCCCCTCTTTGCAGGGGCCTTTTTAGGCTTGGGCTCTGGCTTTGGAGGAGCAGGTTTAGCAGATAACCTTGCAGATCTTCTCTGTGGCTCATCCTTCACCTTGGCTTTATCTCCTTTAGCATCCCCTTCAGCCTTTCTCTTGGGCATGGTGGCGACGGCGGCGGGATGTAAGCGCTGGACGCGGGGATGTGGCGGCACGTGGGCTTTGGCCGGTCCGGGGGTCGTTCTCGCCTCTTCTTCTTCACACTGCTCCCAAAGGCCAACTCTTAACCGACTGAGCCACCCAGGCGCCCCCAGATATACCTATTTATGTTAAAGGGAGAGAGAGGGAGAGAGAGAGAACGAGCAGGAGGGGCAGAGGGAGAGGGAGAGAGAATTTTAAGCAGACTCCATGCTGGGCATGGAACCCAATGTGGGGCTTGATCTTACCACCCAGGGATCAGGACCTGAACTGAAACCAGGAGTCAGATGCTTAACTGACTGTGCCACTCAGGTGCCCCCGAATGCATGGATATCTTGAGTGAGTGAGATAGGCAGATGACCATTGCTCATGGGTAGTTGTGGAATCTGATAAATGCTTCCTGCATTTTCCTTGCTGTGATTGGACATAAAGCCTCAGATCATCAGAAGGCTGGAAGCAATGGCTGCTTTTTTCCACTTTGGGGGCTTGATTTCTCTCCTCTTACCGGGTCTCCACAGGTGAGGGAATGTGGGCCTGATAGGAGAGGGACTCAGCCCAGGTGTCAAGGTAGGCCTGAGCCAGAACCTCCCCTCTGTCTCCAGACTCCTGATCCAGTGCTCTCTAGGCCAAGCTTTGCCAATTTTTCTTTGGTTTCAGCCTCGGTTGCTGAAAACATTTACCAAGCACATTTGCCTCTTCCTTCCCACCTTGCCAGGTTATCTAGCAACTCGGAGCAAATCATTCAGGTGATGATTGATGGGTAGGACTGGGTGGAGCTGGGCCAGGGGTCAGAGGTGAGAATGAACAAGGCTCCCTCCAGAATGCCTCCTCAACAACATCCTCAAGATGAGCTGTCGTTTTGTCTCACGCCTCTTTTAACAAAGACAGAGCGCAGGAGGGTGAATTCTGGTGAATCAAGCCTTTTTGGTGTGTATTCTGTTTCTCAGGGGGTGAGCCTGCCCCAGACAGGCTGAATATAGCGGCTCCCCCTCTCTGCTCTGTAGCAGGCTGTACATCGATTATAGCACCTGTCACGTCACATTTTTCTCTGAAAAATGTCATGTTCATTTTTTCTTCTGCATAAAAAGCGATATGTGCTTATTGCAGAAAATTTGGAAAATATGGAAATGTATTAATGATCAAGCAAAGGTCATCTGTAAAGTCCCCACCTAGTAATAATCACTAGCATTTCAGAGCTCGTAGTCAGCCTTTTTTCACCTGCACATGAGAAGAGATGTTACCTGTATTACCTGTACCCCAGATGTCCCCAGACTGCACCAGCTGGGGGTATGATTCACCTAGGCATGGCCCCTCCCTCTCCATCCCGCTGGCCAGCACCCCTTGATCACCCTGGCCTCTCCCCAAAGCCTTTGTTGTTGTAACTGGGAATGCTTGGAGGGGGCACATATGAGCTCCAGCCAAGTCCTTCCAGTTTGGCCTCCCTGCAGCTTGCCCAGAGCTCTTAGCCCCTCAAGGGTGGCCCTTGTCACTGTCTCTGTCACAGAGCCCACTGGCTCCCCAAGACCCTGCCCCCTGCCCCGGGGGCTGCAGGCTCCCCTCTCCTGGTGATTCCTGAGTGGCAAATCTGGGAGGCACCAGATGGCCCTTGGAGCCTCATTACTTTGGCTAGGAGCTAGGAGAATGTTCCTTCCTCAGGGGCAAGCCCTGAAGCAGCCATGCCTGTGCCCTGGGTCTCCCCAAGTCTCACGTCTAAATGCTTCCTTTAGCTTGGCTTGCAGCCCCTCTCTCTGGAGTACATCTTTGGTCTGCCACCCTGTGCCACCCACTTCTGAGAAGAGCACCCCTTTTCTGCCCAGGAGTTTCCAGTGGGGGCTACCAACCACCCTCCGACCCTAGCCACAGGTCTGGCACAGGACACAGGCTTGGGCATGATAGGATCCTTTCTTGAGATTTTCTGAATTAAAAATAAGAGGACAGGGATCCCTGGGTGGCGCAGCGTTTTGGCGCCTGCCTTTGGCCCAGGGCGCGATCCTGGACACCCAGGATCGAATCCCACGTCGGGCTCCCGGTGCATGGAGCCTGCTTCTCTCTCTGCCTGTGTCTCTGCCTTCTCTCTCTCTCTCTCTCTCTCTCTCTCTCTCTCTGTGTGTGTGTGTGTGACTATCATAAATAAATAAATAAAAATTAAAAAAAATAAAAATAAGAGGACAGTCCCTGTTGGGTGGCAAAGCTTTGTGATGGGAAGCCAGGAACTGCTGTCTACAGCCATGTTGACAGACCCCCCAAGAAGTGGGTCTGCAGTCGGGGAGTGGTAATCTTAGTGCAGAGAAGGAAGTCACCCGACACACACACACACACACACACACACACACACACACAGAAAGAGAGAGAGAGACAGAAGGGAGGCCATCCTAATGATTTGTCCCTGGATCCGGTTGTACCTGAAGCCAGATGTATCCCTGTCCACTGCGCAGTTTAGTTCCATGAGCCAAGAAATCCCACCTTTTGCCCAAGCTGGTTCCGGTAAGGTTGCTGTCCTCTACCATAAGCGTCCTGAAAAGTACCAGAAATAGGTCAGTCTTTGTCCTGGGCAGGGTGGGATACAGATACCATGGTCCTATGTGTCCCTCTGTCTATTGCCCAGGGTCCCAGAGCATGAAGCAATAAAGCAGTGGTAGGGCTGTGCTCCCAACCTGCTAGTTGAGGTTCAGCTGGAACTTATCAATATTACCATTTAGACGAGACTATTGCTGGCTCACATTGTCATATGTTATAAATTCCTCCCCACTAGACTCTGCATTCCAATAGGAAGCCTGGCCACTTCTTAACTGTGTGACTTTGGGCAAGTTTTCTCATTTCTAAAACAAGGATGCTAATAGTATCTATCTCAGAGAAAACCATATGAATGAATCCATAAAAAGGGACTTGGTGTTCTTTTATTTGCTGTATTTTTTGCGGTGCTTAGCTCAGTGCTCTGCACAGGCTAGGCGCCAAGTGGGTGCTCTGTAAATGTGTGACCAGCGAGTGGGGATGCAGAAAGACGCAGCTCCTGGTGGGCATGCCCTACACCGGAGGAATACCATGGACACTTACACACCCTACACCACAGGTCAAGGGCAATAAGACCTGCAGTGTTCTAGGAGCACAGGGAAGTGTGTGTGTGTGTGTGTGTGTGTGTGTGTGTGTGTGTGTGTGAGGGGTGGTGGTAGTGGCGATGATGCTGGTTAACCTGGGGGGGCTTGCAGGAGTTTTGGCTTCTTACTGCTCTCTGGAAACTCCCCCTCATCACTCCTTGGGTCCCCCAATCTCTTCTATTCTACTTCCAGCACCCCAACTCCTGCCTGGGGCCTCTTGTGGGGTGTGGCTTGGTCTTTTTACTGGAGAAAGAGGGTGTTATCTGCAGATTTGGATCTATGGACTCCTACATGGATGGAGGGCCTGCCCCCTTCCCCCTTTCCAAGGACTGTCATGGCCAGGCATCATCTGCCACCCCAGCCTTTCAGTTGTGCTATGCACCGGATTATTAGTCTCTCAGGATGTTTGGGCCGGCTGTGTGCTGTGCGGTACCCTGGGGGACTGAGTGGAATGAAGATGCCGCTTAGACCGTCTGGTGTTGGGGACCGTGTGGCTGGGTGTGGCCCCCCCAGCGTGTTGTGCAGCATAGCAGCAAGTGCTTGTGTTACTGTTTTCTATGGAATGTCTTAGGGTGAGGTGTAGATGGCCAGTGGGTTGTGTTTTGGGTCACTGCATATTATGGTCAGGGCATTAACCCTTTGCGTGGATGTCTGGGCCCTGAAAAATAACGGGGGTAGAAGGGTGCCTCCCTTCTGGGTGCTGTCAGAGTCTTCCGTTCCCATCCCTCTGCCAGTTAGATCCTAATGTGCCTGAGTCTCCTGGTATTGCTGAAGCTCATAAAATCTGGCAAAAGGGAAGGGAACACAGGTCCAGGGTCCTGCTGGGTTCCGAGCTCTTATTTGGCAGCTTACCACCCACATTCCTCTGCCGTAGGGAGCCGGGCGTCGTAAGGCGGGGACGCCGAGCCCCTTGGCCGGTCCCTTCCCGTGCCCAGGTCCGCGCTCCCAACAAAGGCGACAGGCCACGTGCCCCCTCCTCGAAGCGGGCCTGGAATGGGGACGCACGTGGCCCCAGGCTCCCGCTCCAGCCGGGGAGGGATACGGACACTGCGCTGCGACCCAGGTGGGCGCTGAGCCGGCCCCCCAGCAGCAGTCCCGCCGCCCCGGGCTGTGCCTCGCCCACTCCCAGTAGCAGCCGCCGCAGCGCCCGGGAAGTGGCGCTAGGGGGAGCTCTGGCAACTGGCTTGGTGGATCAGAGCAGAACCGTGCATCAAACAGCTATTCCCCGTACTTGCAGGGAAAAAATGGGGAGCGGGGAGACACACTGGTCCCCCTCCCCAGCAGCTCCAGACTCTTCCCGTGGGAGGCCGAGAAAACAGCCCTCGGGGGTGAAGGTGCCGCTCCTCCCCCTCACTCACGCCTCAGTGCTCTCTCTCTTCCCCACCCCCATCGCGGACCTTCGCGGCCCCCCGCCCGCGCTCTGGAGTGTCCCCGAGTACTAAGCCTCGCGCCACCCGGGGACCCGGAGCCGAGCGGGCCCCTGGGACTGGCGTGCGACCTCTTCTCAGAGCTTGGGGTGGGGCCTCTCGGCGGCGGCCCCTCCTGTCGCTGCTGGAGGCGTGGGGGCTGAGCGGGGGGCGCGAGTGGTCCTGCCGGGTGGCTCGCGCCGGAAAAGGGGAGAGCTGGGGTGAGAACACTGGGGAGACGGCCAGGGACGGAGGGACACCGAGAGCCACTGTCAAACAGGAGCAACCTGCCACTTTGCTTGTTTTTTTGTTTTTTGTTTTTTTTTTCATTTTTTTCTTTTCTTTCTTTCTCTTTTCCCCCAGTCTTTCTTTCCTATCCCCTATTTGCAAAGCTGGAACCACCCCGCGCGCCCCCGGGCTTGAGCCGCGGCTCCAGATGTGAATTTGGTTCCAGTGGGGAGAATGCGAGCTTCCTC